AGCACCGGCCAGAAGCCTTCTTTTCTCACTACACAAATCTGAATCTAATCTGAGTGCGAAATATTGTTCATTACCTATCCATTGGTAATAGACATTCCGAGGCGTTAGTCGAAAGATCCTTACTTTCTGTTCACAACTATCCGAACTATTTGAGTGAGATACGCATGACCTCATCTGAATGCGCTAATCTAAAATGAAAATTGTAAAACAGTCTGAATCTTACCTTGCATAGTTCCTGCCTAGAGTTTCAGCTCGTTCGAATCTCCCCAAATGCTGACTGCTGCGTTCATTGTTGAAAGTCACACTCCTGACGTCGCACTTATTGGGGCAGTTTTCACTCAGGAACCTCCTCTAAACAAAGAACCAGACCAAAATAAAGAGTCAACAAACCACCTGCTCACTGTCGATCCCAACCAAAACGATGTGCTTAAGGCTCTTAGCACCTTAAACATGGATAAGTCAGCAGGACCAGATGAACTACACACCAAAATCTTGAGACATATTGCACAATGTATCGCGGCCCCACTGACTGTGATATTCAATATGTCACTTGACCAAGGTGTGCTACCTATGGACTGGAAAGACGCCATCGTTACTCCCATACATAAAAAAGACCAAGACAACTTCCATTGAACTACAGACCTGTCAGCCTCACCAGTGTTGTAGTTAAGATATTGGAAAGAATAATCAAACTGACCATAACGGCATTTATGGAAACCAACAACTTGCTAAACATAGAACAACATGGTTTTAGGAAGGGTTTATCTTGTACAACGAACCTCCTTATAGCAAGGGAGTTCTGGACAAATGCGCTAGACAACGGAAACTCAGTGGATGTTGTCTACATATATTTCAGTAAGGCTTTTGATAAGGTGCCAGCTAATAGACTGCTATTGAAGTTGGAAAACCTTGGTATTGCCGGACCTCTTTTAAAATGGATTAGAGATTTCCTAGTAGGTGGTAGACAAAAAGTAAGAATAAATTCCAAGTGCTCCATCTGGAGACCAGTACTTAGTGGAGTACCCCAAGGTTCCGTCCTAGGTCCTTTACTTTTTATAATGTACGTTAATGATCTTACAAGTATAGTACAGTCTCCAATGTTATTATACACTGACGATGTAAAAATTTGGCGAGTAATAACTGGAGACAAAGACGCATTTACTCTTCAGGATGACTTAAATAATATGATAAATTGGTCTAAAGAGTGGCTGATGCCTATCAACGCGGAAAAGTGTGTCTACATGCACTTGGGGGGTTCAAAGGTTAATACGTACAACATAGGGGATGCGTCATTACCCATAGTCCGGTCTCACAAGGATCTAGGGGTGACAGTGAGTAATGATCTTAAGACGACGGCCCACTGCCGGGAGGTCGCAGCCAAGGGGTTTCGAACCCTCTGGGCTTTAAAAAGGACATTCACTAAGTTAGATAGCACCATGTTCACCACAGTATACACATCCTTAGTGGGAACTAAGCTTGAGAACTGCGTTCAGGCTGCAAGCCCCTGTTTAAAAGGTGACTCGGACATACTAGAAAAAGTACAGAGTGCAGCTACGCGTGCAATTCCGGAACTCCGGGGTTTATCATATAAAGAGCGGCTTGAAAAACTGAACCTCTTTACTCTGTCCTATCGCAGACTAAGGGGAGATCTAATATTGATGTACAGAATACTGGGAAATGATTTCGGACCTAACTTATTTTCTCTTTTCCTTCCCACTAGGTCTGGACATCTCAGAGGACATAGCAGGCGAGTAGAAAAGCCAATAACGAACAATATACTCGTGGCATGCAGGTTTTCACACCGGTTCATCAATACTTGTAACCTGCTGCTTGAAGCAGTGGTGTCCGCACCTCCAATTCAGTCTTCAGTAATAAGGATAGTAGGTTCGTGAACCTGTATTAATCCTGACACATTGCTTTCCAGTGAAGGTCCAGTTTCTCCTTGAAAATATCCACTGATGGGGCTGATACCACTTGTTCGGGTAAGCCGTTCCAACCATTGACTACTCGATGAGAAAAACGGGACTCCACTTTAAGTTTATTAGATCGTGAATTATGAAACTTCTTGCTATGACCACGGAGATTATTAGTGCTGGAGGGAGCAAAAAGATAAGACATATTAACACCCAAATCATAATTGAAGATACGAAATGCCAGTATAAGGTCACCTCGTGTCCTACGATACGACAAGGGGAAAAGGTTTAGGCGTTTTAAAGGCTAATCGTAAGAGAGTCTAGAAAGACCCTTCACTATTTTCGTTCCCACACACTGGACACGCTCAAGGGAGTTAGTATACTTTACCAGACACGGGATAGCTGCTTGGATACAGTACTCTAAATGTGGTCTTATGTAGGTGGGATATAAAATTCGAAACGCTCGGCGAAGTGACCATAACGCACGAAAACCTTTCACAGCGGCTGCTTTGCAATGCGTAGTTGTTTTTAAACCATGACTTAATACTACTCCTAAGTCTTTATGTTCTTGAGCACATGGAAGAGGTTTACCATCAATCGTATAATGGTAACCATTACCGTGACCGATGTGCATTAGTACACTCTTCTTAGCATTGATTTCTAAGCCCAACTCTCGAGCCCATCTAACTAAATCGTCTAAGTCAGCTTGAAGATCCAGATGACTGACCTCACTTTCTGTTGTTCTCCAGATCTTAACGTCATCCGCAAACAATGATATCGACGACCTAAGTAACAGAGGTAACTCATTAACGCAGAGAAGGAAGAGCAGAGGGCCTAAGATGGTGCCTTGGGGTACACCACTTTGGACTCTTTCAAGAAAAGACTGGACTTTCACAAAAACATACTAGTAAAGGAATAACATAGGCCACAGGCCTTCTGTCCTTACTACACAAATCTGAAATCCGAATCTGAATTTTGTTCACTTGTTGGGTCCTCGGCACTTCAATCAAAGTAATGAAAGTTGACGACCTTGAGCAAGGAAATTTAGATGTGGTTAGGTTTATGTTCTTAAAAAAGTGTGAAAAGCATCCCGTTGTTCATACAATATGTGATAATATATCTTCCATTAAAGCATTTACTCAGGGACAATGATTCACTATACCATATAATTGATAATATTGTGATAAGAAACTGAGAGCTCTCAGTTTATCACTACTAGTAGATAAGTATACCTTAGGATTTAAACAGTTTATAATCAAGATATTATTTTTGTGAACAATCATGTGTAGACTGACTTTCCAGGTGGTTAACTCACAAGTTATTAGTTTTTATGGGTTTTGTTCAGTGATAGGTTTTTGTTCGACATTCCCCAACGTCGAAGCGATTTAGGAAACCTATTGCATTTGTTCATGCGTTGATCTTGTGTTGTACGAAATATCTTGATGCCTACACACAGAACCCACATATCTTCAACTCAGGGATGTTATTTTAACCCACAAAAGCACAGAATTTTAAAGACACTACCAAAAACTACTTGTTTTTTTTACTTTGGGGTTGTCGAATTATGCACCTATACGACACTAATTTTACCACTCTTAATCTTTGACTTTCTCTTAAATCGTCTTAGCATGGTTCATGTACTTTAGTCAAACGCCTAGACACAAAAAGAAACCACTCAATGGAATACGAGTATACGCCTGTTCACCTTGTTTACAAATCACACTTTCTAATCAGGACATATCAGAAGTATGAAAGCCAAGGGCAGAATGATGCAGGTTTTCTCACAGAGCAGTCAACTCTTGAGACTTACTGCCAAAATGATTGTTGTCTGGAACTCCAGTCGACCCATTCGAGAGGAAGTCAGACACCCGTAAAAATCTTGACAAGTATATGTGTGGTCAGATTGTTCAAAATGTATGGGTCAGTTCCATCACATTTTTCGAACCAAATTCATTTCACTAAACTATCAAAACCTGTAAAACTGGACTAATGAATTTAAATATCACGTTGACTGTGATAATCTCTCCGACTCCTCAGACAATTCAATTCGGGACACGTCTTTTACACAGCTTTATTTTATTGATTCAAACACGTGAACTTTGGCACAAGGAGGCACCAAATACATGTGAGCCACAAATCATTCGGTTCGTGTGAGGGCTGGGATACTGCCCGGGCGCCCGAACCGAAACAGGTGGTTTTCTTAGGAGGCTACACCCGGAGCCTTTTATATAGAGGTAGTAGAACAACGTTAGGAGATGCAGTTCTATGGTAGCCGGTGACCAACACTTGGTTCATACGCCATTTGTTCTTTCAGAATCCTGGAGCTCATGTGCACCACTGGTTTGGAATGAGGGGTTTTCAACTCATCTAAGGGATCCTCAGTATCCACCTACTCGATTTAAGCACTGGACATTTGCTTTTCATCCTCTCAAGTTCGTAAACAACACCCACGTCATGAGAAGGCATTGAGTAGGACTCTTCTGGTAGTTATGCTACACAGTTGTTCAAATAAAGATATATAAAGTGGGACTTGAAACTACAACTTAATGGCGTTTTAATCAATAAATCGTTATCCTGACACATGTTTTAATGCAAGGTCCGTAGTCTTAGTATTCTTAAATAAGACTATATAATACCGAATCCAAACTTCCTGTTTGTGTATAAGAAAGGCTGGTTCTAAGAAAACTTGTCTAGCACTGTCGATGTTGGTGGATCAAGCATGTACATTCAGTAGTTTTCATATTGAAGAGTAGTAGTTGAATCCAGGGCCCCGAGTAAACTATCAGTTGCGGTATGAGACTTCAAATAGCCAAAACTGATATGTAAGATAATGGCTTTTATGAAAAAAAGATTGATCATTTTCATATAATTTTGATTTATTTTAGTTTTCCCTTGGTGTGCGCTTTATTATGTTTGTGAATATATTTAGGTCAGTCTTTCGGTAGGTTATTTTCTGTCATTTATAAGCTATATGATCCTTAAGTGGCTTATGATTGATAACTTGGTATTTTTTAGACTGATCTGCTGCATAAATACTAACTTTCACCAGTTGCTTCTATCCCATCTTTGGTCATTGAAATTTTATCAATGGAGGACGAAGAAGTCATAAATAGAAATATAAATCTCACAGGTAAATAATATTTCCATTTTATTTGTTCCATAAGGCTGTGGAGCTAGTTGGGCATGTGATCCAAGAAGACGTCCTCATCGCTATATTGTATTGTTCTTCATTTGTTTCCTTTCTTTTGGAAGCTATTTTTGCTATGATAATCCTTCAGCACTTCAAGATGTCTTCATAAACTCTTTAGACATGACAAAGGTTGAATTTATGAATTTGTACGCATTTTACTCATGGCCAAATGTAATTCTAAGTTTTGTAGGTGGTTTTCTTATCGATAGAGTATTTGGTATCCCATGGGGAAGCATTATTTTTTCAATGTTTGTACTTATTGGGCAAATAATATTCGGTATAGGAGCTTATTTTAAAAATATTCCTGCAATGTATTTTTCCCGATTGATATTTGGAATCGGTGGTGAATCACTCGCTGTAGCACAGAATACTTATTCAACTGAATGGTTTCCACCGAATGAGTTAAATCTAGTATTTGGACTTCAACTTAGCATGTCACGTATTGGATCGACAGTAAACATGGTAACAATGCAACCACTGAATCGAGCTGTTGGCAAACACTTCAATATACACGCTAATAAACAATTGGGTGCATCTTTATTGACTGCTTCTGTTACGTGCTTATTTTCTACTATCTGTGCTGTAATTATGTTGTTTTTTACAAAAAGGTATGTTATGTAACGTATGTACTCTATAATTTGTAATTGGAGTACTAATTTTCGTTTAGAAATTTATGAACTTATTTTATTTGTCTCTTTTATGTTACAAATATGTTATTTGACGGTATTATTTTACATGAAGCTGGGTAGTGGCTTGGTGGTTGAAACAATCAATATTCAACCAGTAGATCTCAGGTTTGAACTCTGTTTCACTTATTTCAGTTTGAAACCTAGGATAAACAGTAGGCTTAAAAGACAAGTGCATAAATTCGTACCTATTCAACGAGTTATATTCATGATATAAAATCTTACAGTTGACAATAATATTTTGATCAGGGGTGTAAATCACTTTACATACATCCTGTCCCATGTAATTAATCATGATATGATGAATATTAACTTCGGTTGAGAAAAGACATATAATAACGTAGCTATCTAGTTTTGTCCACCTAATTATTGAGTCTTCCAATGCATGACTGACTGATGGATTTACAAGTATTGAGTTTACTATCAGAAATAAACTTGTGAATAGTTAAAAAGTGTTTTTTTACAAGTCTACCTTTTAGTTTTCGCATCTCAAACGGAAACGGGGTAATTTTATGACAAAAATAGTGGTATATGTTAGTTCTTTAATAAATAAACAAATAACTACTTTACCAACTATTCGTAAAATTATCTACATTTCCTTGGTTTATTGGATTTTTTTGTCGAAAGAGATCAATAAAATGTTAATATAAAGACTTTTTCATCAGCTGTAAAGCTAATCCATTGCATGTTGAGGTTAGTTTTTCAAGCTTTCTAGTCACAAGCCTTTACCATTACAAGGACCCTCCGCTCGCTAGACATGGAATTTAAGATGTAGCTTTAACTAATAAGTCATCATATGCTTGCTAGTGGCTAAGTTTGAGGGGTAATCCCAGAGTTCTAGTAAAGAGTTGTGACCAGTGGAGTTTCCATCATATCATGTGTCACCAATGATAATGAATGATTGTCTAGCAATATTGCAAATAGACTGAAGCTATACTTGTAGACTATTCGGTGGCAAATCTCTGATCTAGTGTTTAAGCACTTATCGAAGTCTCTAGAGGTTTTGATTTCGATCCTTGGTGGGGTCGTGGGTGCAACTTATAGCGAGCCTCATACAAGGACGAAGAAACTGTCCACTGCTTTTCTAGTCTTCACTGTTTCTCTGAATTAAGTCAGTAAGTGATGTAAAATTATAATCAGTTGAAGTTCTACAGACTGGTCATAACCACCCGAGGTGTTTTTATGCTACTCTCTTCCTTCAACCATTATTTCACTAAAAAAGAGTAACTATTGTCCTAAATTTGAGCAGCGCCGAGGTTAGGCATAGGGTACTACGTAAAGATGACAAATCAATTGAGTAGGTAGTAAATCTTCATCAATCGAGTTGGCTGGCACATTTGTTACATGCCTTCAACCACCGCCTACTTCGACGGGCGATGTCTGGTATAGCAGTAGATTAGAAGAAAGCTAAAGACAGCCAAACCAGGACGTAACACCAGTTCATGAACTAACTGACAACCGGATTCAACTAGTGTTAGTAGGTGTAGACTAGCTGGTTTGGGTCCTTGTGATCATCGTAATCAACGTTTAGAGACTGGTTAACATGTCTCAAAATCGCTTACAATGGTTTAGGTGCATTCACTCGTAAACTTCCTTTGGAATTTGAGTCTGGAAACCCACTTATACCTTTTACTTTTTTTATACCTAATCTTTCCTAGAACTGATGTTATTTGTACTTCTGTTACTATTTTGGGTTTTATCTTGAAATAATACTAATGTGACATGACAACTTAGACCGTTACACATACGTTCATCAGGTTTTAAGTTGCACATGACTGCATGAGGTTCTTAAAACGCATTATCTTTTACATTGACTTTAAAAAGTTTTACACTACTGTTAGGACATACAGTTTATCAGTTCACACATCGTTTTTTTTTTTCAAAACCTTTTTAGAGCTAAACGCATTCTGTCATCTTGTGGAAAACCGCATTCACTGAATACCCAGCCTATGGAATCCAATACACTTGAAATATCTAATCATGAAGAAGAACAATTACTCACGAAGAAAATAGAAGATCAAAACAAAAAGATCTCTCCTATGGATGTTATTCATTTTCCAGGCGCTATTTGGCTTATTTGTATCATTTGTGTGACATATTATGTAACAGTATTTCCATTTGTTAGTTTAGGACTAGTATTTTTTGAAAGTAAGTTATTTTTAAATTGATACCATTGATTCCCATCTTTTTCTTCATTAAAATCAAAACTTACTCATTTATGTACTTATATTATTATCCGGTAGTATATCATTTTAGTTTCTGACATTTTAATGTCGTAGATCCTACGTTTCATGGTTAGTGATATGTATCTTTCAAATATAAGTTGATAAAATAATCTATCGCCTCGTTTCCACCACTATGTCCATAGAATGAATGGTATAATGTATAAATTTATTGAAATAACCTGTTCATTGCATATTACAACTAACATTTCTTGTATTTATGGATTTCTCTAGGCATAAACTAGATTCTTATTATACTTGGTTTTAAAATCCTAATTAATCTTAATTGCAATTTGTAAACAGTTGATATGAAAGTCTCATATGATTCAATTTGTGCGTATTTATTCAGATGGACTATGTTAAGCAGATCCTCATTAAATAACCACTGTCAGTGGTTTGAAATGTTGTGTGATATGGTCAGAATTGGTCACAATGGCACAGATGAATTCATTACATTTTTTTAAAGTCGTATGCCCCAGTATTATTTCATACTTTTTATTCTTCATATTCACCTCTTTTCGAACAGTATTCGTTTTGTTTAACGTTTCTCATTGTCGTCGGAAACTTGGATGATACATATTTGTGCCATGCTCTATGCTGGTTATGACTTACTGAATTGTCATTCATCTAATTAATGTTTGTACCAACTGATTACTTGTAGTTTGCTTTTCTTTCCCCGCTAATAGCAACCAGATGTGATGTTCAGTGTGTAGTAGTCAATGGGAGTAAGTCAGCTGCTGATGTTTCAACCACTGTCAATGTGAGACTTAGGAGTAGTCTAAAAATGCCTAAAATGAAGGAGTTAGACAAGTTCATGAACTTTCTAACTGTTGCTTCTAATTCTATAAGTAAATAGACAGATTCGTTGCACATCACTCCAAATAAACCTGCATGAAATTAATGCTCTCATTCTATTTAACTGTATCGTTTTATACTTTGTACTTAAATTTCTCATGTTCTCTTAATGTATTTAATTATGTATAGTCATGTGTAACTTTAGAACTGTTCTCTTCATTGTTTCTCTTTTTCTCTCCATATCATAGAAATTACTATTACATTTATTTATTTACAATGATTCGACTTTTCTTACTGATTTCCTCTTTTGTTATGCTAATATTTTGTACCATTTTAGACAGATACATAATTATACCAGACACTTTAATACTCATGCATTATTGCATTATTATTATTTATTATATAAACATTGGTACAAGGATGCACCAAATAGATATGCGCCACATAAATCACTCGATTTATGTGAGGGATGGGATACTGTCCGGGTGCCCAAACTGAAACAGGTGGTTTTCTTAGGGGGCCACATCCGAAGCCTTTGACCTAAAGGTCTGATCCTCAAGTTAGTGTAACAGTGTAAGGAGATGCAGTCCCACGATAGCCGGTGACCAACAGTAGGTTCATACACCATTTGTTCCCTCAAGATACTGGAGCTCATGTGAACGATTGGTTTAGAATGAGGGTTTCCCAACCCCTCTAGGTGAATTCTCCGTATCCACCAACGCGAATAAAGCCCCGTACATTCGCTTTTTATCTTCTCAATTTTGTAAACAACACCCACGTCACGAGAAGGGAGTGCTGACTCTTCTCACTCTCAGCCGTACCAGGGCATTTGGGGGTCACGCATTATTGACTGACTGGTAGAGTGTGTAGGAGCAATTACTATTCTTTGTGTATTGTTTGTGAGACAGCCTTATTTTCAATGCAATTAAATTAGGCGAAATTAATACTTATTTATTTTGTTATTCAGTTACATCAGAAATTTTATTCATAACATGAAATAACTACTTCAATACTGATTGTTTTTCTTCATTAAAAATCACAACTCAGTAACTAACCTCTTCTCTGATTTCTTTTTTCCCTCTCTCTCTCTGTCTCTAAATCTCTATGTTTTTATATTTACAAACATATAGGGAAATTTGGTTTATCTGTTCAAGATGCTAGTGTTGTTAACAGTCTTATCTACATTATATCCGCTGTGGCAAGTCCTGTATTTGGAGCAGCAATTGATATTATCGGATATAATTTATATTGGTTATTCAGTGGAATATTAATTACATTGGGCTGTCATTTATGCTTTGCTTTTACTAGTGGTCAAATTCCCCCACTAGCTATCATGATTGTGATGGGTTTGTCTTATTCTGTTCTGGCTAGTAGTTTATGGCCAATAGTTGCTTTTGTATTGCCATTGCATCAAAGAGCCACAGCTTATGGTTTAATTTCGTCAATTCAAAATTTAGGACTTGGATTAATTTCCATATTTGCTGGATATTTAGTTGATACAAAAGTGAGTTTATGCTTTCTTACTATTATTATTATGAATTACCTAAAATGTCGGTTAACACTTTCAATTGTAGAATGGTGGCTTAGTTATCAAAGGATTCATATGATAATCAATTAATCCCATGCGTACCTCAGAAGTACATAAACCTTGTAAAGGCTCTTTACTCGAACACTACTAGTCGAGTCAGAGCTTATGGCGAACTGTCATCTGTTTTTGCAACCTCAAGTGGTATCCGTCAAGGCTGTCCACTTTCTCCATTTTTGTTTAACTTCATCATGGACCTACTGATGGAAATAACGCCCTCGTCGACTGAGTGCTCGGGTATTGATCTCCATCCAGGAGGTCCACTTATCGACTTAGAATACGCAGATGACATATTCCTGTTTGGTGAAGACGCTGATAAAATCCAGAGTCTTTGGTAGCACTAAGGAATAATGCCAGAATGTTTGGAATGCGCTTCTCTCCCTCTAAATGCAAGTTGTTGCTTCAGGACTGGTCTGCGTCAATACCTGAACTAAGGATAGGGAGTGAAGTTGACAACTTCACTTATCTTAGAAGTCTGACCAGCCCTAATGGGTTGGTGTCTGACGAATTCTCATCATGGATTCGAAAAGCTCGTTCGTTCCTATTATTGATGGTGGTAGTAGTAGTTGTTGTTGTACACAAGTTAGGAGATATCCGTCTATCGATAAAATGATGAGTATACTGTGCGACAGTTCGTTCTGTTTTACTTTACGGCTGCTAAATGTGGCCATTAAGAGTAGAAGATACTCGTAAGCTACTAGTATTTGACCACAGATGCCTTAGAGATATTTCTGGCATCTGCTGGGATCACCGGGTAAGTAGTAGTGAGGTTAGACGCAGGGTATTAGGGAATGATGGTAAATCAGTTGATGAGGTCGTGGATCTTCATCGACTTAGATGGTTGAGCCACATGTTACGTATGTCTGAACACCGATTACCATGACGTGCAATGCTAACTGGTGTTGGAGATGGTTGGAAGAAAGTTAGAGGCGGCCAAACCAAAACGTGGCATCAGTGGTTGAAGTCACTAACTTCTAGTCTGAACCATGTTGGTAGATGCATACTACTTGGTTGGGTCCGTGTGACTATCGTAACCAATGGTTGGAGACTTTGGATGGCATGGCTCAGAATCGATCACAATGGCGTCGGTGTATACACTCTCTGTCTTCCTCTAAACTATGAGATTAAAGTCGCTTCATATCTTTCTTTCTACGAACTAATTCTTTCTTTCTGTACTATTTCCTTATATGCAATCTTTCTTTTATATATTACCACCATTGACTTAACCACTCCTATGTATCCGGTGTTCATCTTGCTGTGCTAATGAGGTATGGCAACCTGGACCAATGCATATATGTGCCTGGTCCTACGTTGTAGCTGACTGAATGACTGAGGGTTGAATAACTCGGCATGATGTATTTTCTTCGCATATGGCTTATAGGGAAGTGGTTTGATATGATTTGTACCTGAACGCGTAACCCTGACTTTGTAATCTATTCCCTACAAATTTCCTACAATTAAGGAACGAACAAAAAGTGAGAAGTTTAAAGAATAATTTTCTTTCATGGTTAGTTTATGCACTGAGAACATCGATATTTGTAGGTTTATATGTAATGTTCATATTCTAGGAGATGTCGGAAACTTGCTAAAATTATTTTTTTAAAGTTGGCAATTCTCTAATACGAAAATGACAATCCATTGTTTCTTTATATCTCTATGGGAAGTTTCTATTGAATGTTGGTTGGACGAAATGTTTTCATCCTTTCTCCATCTTTTGAGAACCTCCTCTCTGAATATGTTATAACTTGTGGCCTGAGTGCCCTGTTAATGGATAATGTAATGATACCACCAATTAGAGAAGAGTGAATTGTCGATCGGACCAATGACGCATAAACCCGTGCGAGCAGTCTAGAGTCTTTATTGGTCCTGCCTCCCACCTAGCCCAGCCAGTTAAGTCTAGAACAACAATCTCAGCCTCTGCGATATGAATCATGTATTTCAAGCATACTCGATTTATATACCAACCAGACGGAGTACATCGTAACATAAAATAGCAAACAACATTTACACAAGATTTAGCGAAATGTGGCTGTGAATGAGGGATGTAGTAATTAACAGATAGGGCATAATTTAAGAATGGTAAATCGTATAATAATAGTTTATAGGTCAAAATAAAGCTCATAATAAGAGGGACACGAATATATATATTTTAGTTACACAACAATTATATGGTAAAAATATACGCATAGTATTGGTCCATAAATGGATCCCAAAGTTACCATTCATTATGCTTATCGGGATATAACACAATTCTTGAGAGCTTCCAATACTTTAGCCAATCCTGACTGCTAGTTCTGAAGAAAACATGGAATATTAATCATACTTTTTCACTCTTTCCTATCATACAATACCAGATCACAACTATTTAAAAACCCGAGAACAATTCTATCGTCATGAAACTGCGATTGTTGTCCTGTATGCTTTTAAAGTTCATACATTCAAGAGATCCACCCTATTCCTAGTGAATCAATTCACTACGTGTTTTCCTTTCTTCCTTTTTTTTTTGAGAGAGAGACAAATATTTCATATACAACTAAACTAGTCATTAAAAATTGGTTTGTATTTTGTACTTCACCTATTCCAATGGTCATTCTATTCATGTTTACATCGGTTCATTTTGTTTCAAAACATTCAAAGTTCATAGGATTTTTATCATTATTATAATCAATTTGTTAAAATGTATTATCATAATTTACACTATCAATATTGAATTGATAATTTTATTTATTTATTTATTTCAGAACTCAAGTGGTTTATTTTCATTGATTGATTGATTGATTTATGTATCCGATTTATTATTTATTTATTTATTTCAACACATAGATATTGGTACAAAGAGGCATCAAATACACATGCGCCACATAAATCTCATTCAATATGTGTGAAGGCTGTGATACTTCCTGGGTGCCCAAACCGAAGCAGGTGGTTTTCTTAGGGGGCCACTCCCCGAACCTTCGACCTGAAGGTCTGATCCACAAGGCAGTGGAGCATCGTAATGAGATGCAGTCCCATGTTAGCCGGTGACCAACAGTAGGTTCATACACCATTTGTTCCCTCAATATTACTGGGGCCCGCGTGCACGATTGGTTTAGAATGAGGGTTTTCCAACTCCTCTAGGTGAATTCTCCGTATCCACCAACCCGAATAAAGCTCCGTACATTCGCTTTTTATCTTCTCAATTTTGTAAACAACATTCACGTGACGAGAAGGGTGTGAGTTGTATTTCCCTGGTAGTAGTTGTATGCACGTGGCCATGTGAGAGCATTTGAAGAGAGTGAGCTGACTCTCCTCACTCCCGACCGTACCAAAGCATTTGGGGTCTTCGTATAGTTTCTTGGCAATATCAATAACTTAACCCTAACTGCGATTTTTGAAAAAAAAAACGTAATTTTACAAAATCTAGAATACATCAATCTTTATGGGCTTTAAAAATACTCTTCATTTTACGGTTTCTGTTCCCGATATTCGAAATACTTTCTAGAAATTTTGGAAATTTAAAATCATAGTCTTGATCATTATCTAACATTTTATCTTCTCCACATCAACACTGTGTGTTATATATTCATATGACAATTTTATATTTTGGGAACAAAAACAACTTCCATAGGCAAGCTTATTTCACCTGGTGATTGATGTGAATTAAAGTTTCGACAACTTCATTTTTTTGGATCACATTGCGAAAATTACAAATCTTATCAATTATAAGGTAAATGAAAACAGATCAGCAAGCTTAGTTAAACAGTATGTGTTTTATATAAATTTCGATTGATCAATTGTATAGTTGTGTCCATAACTAGTAAAGTTCATAGCACAATTCACGTCTTCATTATGCATGCAATGTGTACTTAACTGAAATTTTATGGCGAATATTAAAAAAGGACATACTTGTATCTAAATTCTAATAATAAAATATCCAATGCAGTGTACTAGAGGGAGAAAACTATAGCTAACAAGTGGCTATCAAGAATCAGTAGCTAAGTGGATAACGCGATGGCGTTTGGAGAGAACGGTACTGAGTTCGAGTCCCAGAGTGAACATCAACTCTGAGATGCAAGTACATCCAGCTGATGAGTCTCGAAGTAGGACGAAACGCGCGTCCTGGATTCCAGTGCTAGCCACTACCCATCTTTGCTATAGCTAGCATGATAAAATTGCGAAAAACTATCAAGTCATGTTTGTTAGTCAAATGAAAGAGTCTTTTGTAGTAATGATGAAGAAATATTATTGTCTATGCTCTTAATATAAAAATACCTAGTTACACTTGTGTTTTTTCCTCTATCACATATTACAGGGTTATTTGTTCCTTGAAGTGTTTTTCGTATTCTGTCTCAGTATCGCTATCACTGCTACATTTGGTCTACTTATATGGGATCATCGTTTTGGTACAGGATTACTAAATGAATCTGGTGTAAATAGACGATCGAAAAATCTTGTCAGCAAAATTGATGATGGAACTGTAAGCCGTACATCATTGGAGCCAGTTATTACTTGATTATAAATATGAACTTCATAATTTTGTTTCATTTCTCATATTTTATCATAAATGATTTTCAATTAAACTTTTTACGTTGTTTCTATGTGTCCTAAATGATTCATTACGGCTGATTCATATGTTCTTTATAAATTCAGTTAAGTATTTTCGTACACCAACAGCTGAACTTCCTCATGGAGTTATAACAGTTTAATTTATATCTTATTTTAACGATAAGTATTCAATTATGTTTCGTTTTTGATTACATGTTTCATTTTCTAAATCATGAATTCTATGTATTTTTTTTTGTATTTTGTGATTTGATTTGATTATAAGTATTGGATATTTCCTTTGGTTATACAAAATGTTTTGTACTAATTACAGTTAACCGGGACTACTACTCTTGGTTCTTTTTTCAATCACGTTATTTCTATGCATAGTTTTTCCCTTATGGTTGTTTCAATGTTAAGCGGTCGGAATCAGTTAGCAATGGGGCTATATTTTTGATTGGCGTGCCCAAAGTCTTCTATGATATACTCCGTCTAAACCCTTTTTATCTTTTAGGTAGTATAACCAAGCTGTTGAAGTGATAAATTACTGCTTTATGGAGTATTTGTTATGGTTTAGTTAAATCTAGTCAATCGCGTTTCAGCGTCTGACTCGGTCGATTTCGCAGGTATAGAAGACTAAGAATGAGTAGAGAGTTGTATTGAACATGAATCGAAGCGTTAGCTTATTGATTGTGCATAGTGTCACTTACCCAACCGGCGGTATGTAGGTATGATCATGGCCAGATGGATAATTTACTTGCAGTACTATTCTAACCCATCCATCTCTCACCTGCATAGATTTTTTCATACACGAAACACTAGGAATATACCTGAAAGGTAGGCTTTTTTCCCGAGTTGGCAGAATATCGCAAAAAAACTGGTTTCTCTTATCATATCTTTCGGATCCCTCCAGTGTTAAATATAGGTTCTTAAGAATTCTAGTGGATCTGTACCTACGACATCGTTTAGTTACGCACCTCCATCCAAACAGGTCATAGGGTTCCACGGAACTGAAATGTATAAACAGTGTGGATATGGTACTAGTAAATATATATTCCAAAATAAATCCCTGGACAATAATTCTCCTAACGTGTATTGACGAGAAACAACGGCACCTTGTAAAATCAATTTCCAAACAAATAGTATTCCTTGGGATCGGGGGACAATGTTCTGCCTAAAAGATATGACTGTTAACAGGGTTCCAGAAGAGAGCAGCTAGACATAAAGATGCAACGATTATATATTTATCTCCTTGTTCATAACATCAGAAGTTCCTAACGAACAGGGAATAAAGTTTTTACCGTTCAGGTATAGATCCACTCATGTGAATCAAGTAAGATCAATCAGGAATACTCACTCGATATAACAGCAGCTCAAATATAACGTTAGTCAAAACAAAGTCATAAAAGACATCACAGATTTCATAACAATTTAGAACTTGTAGACAGTATAGTATAGTAAATACAAACAAAATGACGAGTATAATATGCATGAGTACTAGGTTTATTAGAAGTTGCATTACATTTGAAGGGAACGGACGGATACTTCCACAGGGAATGTATACGTGGAGGGGTTTTCACACGCATATAAGTTCATACAAACATGCGAACACAAATGGATCGTGCATCCAGAATACTGTATCCAAGCTGGATCATACGTAATTAAACGTGTATAAATATATCTAAGGGGCAGGTGTTAGGTTGTCAACAGGATGTCACAACTTTCTACATGTCCTGCGACCTAAACGCTCAGATACATATCTCCAATCTTATTATAAAAAGAGGCAACCACATATTAGCACATCTTAAATAGAGAAGCTCCTTTGGTCCTAGCATGTCCTACACTTTTATTCCTCTAGGTCGAATAGTCTGTATGGCCATCACAAGACACTTCACAGTCTACAAACAAATCGGCCAATGTTAAGATAATGATCTTCTCAATGAATGAGCAACGACCGTAACTTTGTACGAGCACAATTAATACCAGGTCACTTGAGAACACATTTGGGAAACCACATTCGAGAAATAACAAAATTCAAATGATACATTATTTTTGACAGTGAAGATTTGTAGCAGCAAATAAATCCCCAAAATAAATGATAATGTTGCTGACCTCATTAGTTTTACTGACCACACTTCTTATACACATTCGTTCAACATCCGTATCAGATCACGTTTTGTTTCGCTTCAGCTGCATCTGCTGACCGGATTTTGAATACAATTAGATCCCTCACCATTGAGGTTTGCTCCGTCAAATAATAGTTTCAGTTGACCCCAGACGAAATTACACTTACTCTGCTACTCTCAGTCATTTACTTTACTTCGAGCATGACTGCAGACGATCTAAAACTCCACAAAGTAGCCCATCATGCAAAAGATTGGCCCCTTAACACTCAATAAGTATTTCAAACTGTGTAAGCCACAACCGAATTTACCGAGTGTGACTTTCGATGTTACACATTACATCACGACTACAGGACCATCTATATTCTCAAGAACTCTCTGTCTAGCTCCTTAAAAGCCGAAATTAACTACCAGCGGATTCGATTTCAGATAAATTTAGGAATATTCCGGTCATCAAATAGTCCACAGACATCTCCGTTGTATGTGATTCCTAAAAAGAATACCAGTGATTGGCGTTCAACTGACGATTATCGAAAAGTTAGTACACGAACCATTACGGACCACTACTCGTCACCGCGTATTCACAATCTCGCAGCTACCTTGAAAGGTACGATCGTCCTTTCAAAAATCGATTTAGTTAAAGCGTATAACCAAATCCTTATGGCTGAGTACGACATTCCTAAAATGTCTATCATTACTCCCTTCATACTCTATGAACTTTTAAGTTTGCTTTTCGGCCTAAAAATGTTTTCCTAGCCTTTTAACGACTCGATGACGACATGTTCAGGATATTTGATTTTTTTAACGAATTTGTTAATAACTGCCTGTCCGCATTGGACACTTTGGAGCGTAATTTGAACCTGTGACGCGTGATTCAAGCAGCTGGGAGAACCGGAGTGTTTATGGTTGTAAGTACCTCAGACTTTCCATTTTCATGCACTTACATATGTGCTTATATGTCTAACGACCTTTATGATACCCACGAAATTGGTCTAGTATTTTCCAAATTGTCAAGCATGAATCGTTTTATATGCAGAATTCTATGTGACCTACTGTTGGTCACATAAATGGTCAACCTACCTAAGTGGGGGAAATTTTAGGCAAAACTTTGACAATTCACGTCGACTTCTCTTAAGGATTTTCCTCAAGATTTCCTTAAGACTTGCCTTTGTTTCTCCGTTTGCCTAGGTAACGTAGTATGTCTATAATGAACTTAGAGAGTTGAAATTGGGTTTGGTTAAAAAAAGTAAGGTTCCAAATAATGTAAAGCTTCACCACTATTCTCATAAGCTCTTCCCATTTATACTTTAATAAATTAATGTACTCTGTTTAGTCTTGACTACTTAACTAACGCAACACCATTTAATTCAATTCGACTGAAGTGTAAATGAGTGGACTTTAAGTCATGAGCTGTAATTGTAAATTTGAAACGGCTGTCAAATAACAAGAAACAGTAGTGGTGTAGTTGTCTTGTAATAAATCACTATCAGCTCACCACATGCCTTATCAGATATGGTTCACTTGCTAGTTGTGATGTAGGTTAATAATCTAGTCAGTTGTTTCTGGCTTGTTTTTATGTAAACGTATTTGCTAATGTTGAATGAAATAAGTCTTCTTCTGGAGATTAACTGAGTTTGGATAACGTGAAAAAAGCTAGTGGCTATGGAGAAAATATATCTTTTCTTTTATCTCCCTTTGAATTTGTAGTGTTGGTGTTTCTTGTTAGCCGTTTTTCCCACACTACTTATTCTTTTAAAATACAGTTGCACTTATTTTAATTTCACTAGTAGTGATATTGTTTCCATACTGACTTTCATTTTATCGGTCTCCGTGGAAATTTCTTAATGCTAAGGTTTTGTTAGCAGCTCCTAATAATAATGAGTAGTGGTACAAAGGAAGACACCGTTGTTATAGGATAACTCCAGACATCTTTACAGGATGGTGAGTCAGTATTATCAGTGTGAACAAGATGTAACTCTGGATGGCGTTTCTTGATCCTTGGTCTTCCAAATTTATAGCAAAGGACAAAAACCCTTTTTGATACGAGAGATAAATCAGTTTGATCAGTAATGTTTCCAACGTACTTTCTCATAAGTCTTATGCCTGAATACAGACAGTAAATAATAGGTAGGCTTTAGACCTGACTGTGGTTGTATAAACCAAATTTTTGCACTAACAGGTTTGAAAACATACCAATCCCTGACTATAGTTACATTAAATGACCTAGACGCTTTATTCTACCCCGTTAATCTAAATGTTCATAAGCAAAGTTATTACTAAAGTAGTCCACTACTATAGGCTCTTCACTTGCAGTTCTTTTCAGGTTAGACATTTCTGAAAACTTTCGTCTTGGCTATCTACCTTATTTGCTATCCGTAGACGATAAGCGATTTCCTCATTTAAATTTTTGTTATAGACATTTTTCCATAGACAATATTCACCTTTCCTGGCGATTAATTTATTGACTTAGTGTACTTAGATGGCACATTTTAATTTAACGTGCTGACTAAATACGAAGACTTCTGAACACTCCGAGTAATAATGTAAGGATGCTGGGTGTGCATTCCGTTCCTTTTAAACTCAAAATGTTGCATGAGCCATGATTTGATGAAATAGACTTTGTTTTACCTTCGATTGGCATTTTTTGTTATCCATCAATTTGATTAAAATATTTTCAGAATAATCAATGAATAATAAAAATCTAGAAGAAATATCTCATGACCCTCTACTTGCTCCTGGTAAACGTAAAGGTGCCAAAAAGACGAGGACCGTTAAAGACCTTTTTGATGATGTTGGACCAGAATCAGCATTTAAAGATAAACGCGGACGTCCTTGGTTCAAAAATCCACGAGCATACGTGAAACAGAAATTAGCATCTAAAACTCAGAAGGATGGTGCGGAAAAACAATCGGACTCCAGTAGCAATGAAAGTTCTGAACTCGAAGCCTCAGAAACTGAATCAAGCACTTCGACCAGTGACGAAGAAAAAATTAATGTTTTCGAGGATATTGAAGACCTACAAGGTTAGCACTTTTTTTAATCTAGTTTTTCTCATCATAAAAATAGAGAAGTGATATCCAGATTTCCGCAAAACTGAATAGCAATAAAATATCCCATCCAACTAAATTAGTAACTAAAGACAACCTGCCCACATCGGCTATAAGTCACTCACCAAATCGAAAGATGTTAACACTAGACTGTTGTGTAGTCTGTGTGAAACTAATTTCATAATTGTTTATAAATGTAAATTTGTGAGCAATACCAGTCGCATCAGCGAAATTGGCTCCCTTACTGTTTATCACTTGTCAGATTTTGACTGGGAACTACTCCAAATCATGAGTCACGTTAGATATGTGTAACTTGTTCTCTTCAGTCTTTCGAATCCAGTGGAAATGAGGTCAAAACATTAACATTTAATTTGTAGTTTTGATGTTCGGTTTTGACTTATTGTCTATTTACTGATTATTTATTTATTTAACTCAAATGAAATCTGATACGACAGAACACCAATAATAGTATGTATCACTCAAAATATTTATATATGAAGGTGGGATGCTGCTCCTGGGTGCCCACACCAAATCAGGTGTCTGGATGAGTTGCTTTACGTACATATTCAAACTACAAGTATCGCTATATCTCTGAAATAATTGCGTTTCGAAAATTCTTATTAACCTTTTATTACAAATCACATAGTCAGTCACTGACAACGTAGAACTTCGTACGTACGTACGTTCATCAGTTTGAGTTGCCATACCACATAAGCACCGAAATACAATTGTCGACTCAAATCCCATAGTGGTAGAGGTAGTGAAAGTGTAAGCAGTGATCGGAACATTAGGGTTTGAGGATGTTATTTAAGGAGTATAATCCAGTGAAATAAATCTGAAAAGAGACAAAAAGAAAGGAGTTTGAAAAATTCAGAAGATTAGAATTTGGGAGAACACAAAGAGTGGATGCACCTGCACCATTGCAAACGATTTTGAGCCATGTCATTCAAGGTCTCTAACTGTCGGTTGCTATCGTCTCGCGAATCCTAACCAGGTAGTCTACATCGACCGACATGGCTCAGTTCACTTATCAATGACTCCATGGATTTGTGTCATGTTTTGGTCTGGCCACCCGTAGCTTTCTTCCAACCTACTCCTACACCATAAAACATCGCTTGTCGAGGCAGTCGGTGGTTGGGCATCGCATCCCGAACGTATTTGCAATGTTGCTTACAGTGGTCATAAGACTGCATTTTGTCAGCGTCTCCACCAATTAGAACTATGTCATGGGCATATTCCAAGTCAACAAGTGAATCTCCCGGTAAAAGTTCAACTCCTGGAAATCTAGATGAGAAAAGTGTTATCTCTAAAAGCACATCAACGACAAAGTTGAACAAGAATGGAGAGAGTGGACAGCCCTGATGAACACCACTTGAGGTAATCAATTCTGATGACAGTTCGCCATAAGCTCTCACTCGACCAGTTGTGTTCGAGTAGAGTGCCTTTATAAGGTCAATGTACTTCTTTGGTACTCCTTTAAGTGACAAACACTGCCATAGAACCTCACGATCTACAGAATCAAATGTCGTTTCACGGTCGAGAAATACTACTATTGTGGGGCGTCTGAATGTGTATCTATGTTCTAGGACAATGTAGTGTGAATATCTGGTTTATACAACCACGCCCAGGTCGTAGTCTTCATCGTTTAAATCGTGTACACCAGCTTCGAATTCTTTTTTATCACTGGATAGTTCAATTTCTTCAACATAAGAGCGAAATTCATTGAGGAATCTTCCTCCTAGATGATATGAATCATTCTTTCCGTAAACACTTAGAAAGTATGCTATTTCATTTTATAATCAACTGTTAGTCATCGTTAAATATAGCAAATTAGCATATCAGTAATCTTATTATGAACATTTTTGTATCTAAAATAAACCTAAACATTTTCGTACCTACTATTCATAATAGCTTTCAGGTTTTTTTGCCACATGTACATATAGGTGCAGATTGGTACGAATTAACTAAAGATTCAGTTCCTGCTACCCAGACAAGTCATAGATTGGCACTGCTTCATTTCGATTGGGATAACGCAAAACCAGAAACAATTTATATGGTCTTAGAATCATTTTTACCAGCCAGAGGGCATATTGAAAAAGTTACAGTAAGTCATTAAATTGATCGAACAACTTTCTAAAATGTAGATGCTAAACTACCATCCTTTCATTGCATTTCACTTTTTGTCCTAACGATTTGAGCGGCATACTAGACTAAATGATTACCTTGTCGTTTGTTACCCTCAAGCGATAAATTATTTACCCTATTCTTCATCAACATATGAACTAAAAATTTAAGTTAACTCGTTCATCAGGTACCTAGGAATGAGCCGCACTAACTTTGGAGGCTAGTGGTACTACCCAGTCCCCTAAGCCAAAGTAGGTAGGGAGGTGTTCAAACCTGGTACTTAATGCCTTAATTATGAGACTGACGGTTCACGTATTTCATAAAGAACAAGGTTTTATAATCATGTAGTTATTGATTGGTTATGATGTTGCTGGGTGACTCAACTGCACAATATTTAGAAAAGCACATCTCAAGAGCGAATGGTTTGAAGTCACCAATTTCCATACCGGTTTACTTTATAACTGGTCTCGTTGAATTGTTTTGTATTTTATTCCTCATGGAATGTAGGTAGTAGCTGTAACTTAAGATCATACTTTAGTTTTATTAACTGAAACATCTGACAAGGTAGTTAATTTAAATGAACGGTTTCTGTGGTTCATCTCACTGTAACAGTATCCTAAACTAGGTTTACACTATCGATCGTGAATTAATGTGGTAGAAGAATATTGTCTCTAGAGTTTTGTTGCCATCCAGTTCCCGAATGGACTACAAACAGTTGATTTTTAAGCTTCTATCTTACTCTATAGGTTCCCCTGTAAATATCTTCAATAAATGACAAAATCTTTTTAAGGATCTTATCTGATTAATCATTTTGTAGACTTTGACAGGAAGTAATCAGTATTTTAAGCTGTTGATCAAATCGGCAGGAAGTTGTCCACTTCAGTTTCAATTTTTACCACTACATAATGTGAAAGCAATCCTTTTGAACAGTGTATTCTGTCGTTGAGCCGTTCAATTAATGTTTTATGTCAGCGTGAGGTTGTGGAGATTTCCGAGTTGCATTGAGATCAAGAACCAATCTAAGTTGAACAATCACTGGAAACAGTAAACGATCATTTTGTCCTACTGTGAGACTCCTCATCAGTGTCCACTATAATCCCCAATAGAAAATCTAACCCATTACCTTCGTGAGCGTTCAATCTCCAGATCACTGAGTCAGTAACCAGTAGTGTACAAATCTAACTTCAATCAATCCACGATATTGCACGACTATTATCCATTGTCTTCAGTGGATACCTTCCTCACACCCGACACGGTCGAACTCCACTGGTTGGTTAAAAATGTAGTTAAAATGTGTATTTGCTGAGTAACAATGCTTTGCAGTCACATGCTTGGTGCTATCCCTTAATATTAGTCAATCAGCCAGCTACAACGTAGGACCAGGCACATATGTGCATCGGTCCAAGTTGCCATTCCTCATTAGCACAGCAAGATGAACAACAAATTCATAGAAGCAGTTAATTCAGTTGTGGTAATATATAAAAGAAAGATTGCATATAAAGATATAGTACAGGAAGAAAGAATTATTTCGTAGAAAGAAAGATGTGAAGCGATTTTAATCTCATAGTTTAAAGGAAGACAAATAGTGTATACTCAGACGCCATTGTGATCGATTCTGAGCCATGTCACCCAAAGTCTCCAACCATTGGTTACGATAGTCACGCGGACCTCAACCAAGTAGTATGCATCTACCAACATGGCTCACACTAGAATTTAGTGTCTTCAAACACTGATGCCACGTTTTGGTTTGACCGCCTCTAACTTTCTTTCAACCATATCCAATACCGGTTAGCATTGCACGACGTGGTAATCGGTGTTCAGGCATGCGTAACACGTGGCCCAACCATCTCAGTCGATGAAGATTCATAACCTCATCAACTGATTTAGCATCATTCCCTAATACCCTGCGTCTAACCACACTACTACTTACCCAGTGATCCCAGCAGATGCCAGAAATATTTCTAAGGCATCTGTGGTCAAATACTAATAGCTTACGAGTGTCTTCTACTCTTAATGGCCCTTAATATTCCTACGACTCAGTGAAACATTGAGTACTAAGTGGCGGTAACAATCGTATTTGTAGTTAATTCGTATGTTTTGTGTGTAGATCGGTTGCTTTGTAACATACTAACCTACTCGATTCTATTAGAATTACAACTGTATCACGTAATTCTTTGAATTCAGTGTCATTCAATAGTATTACACATGTGTTTGTTTTTGTCATCAATCTGTTTTATTTTCGGATAATACCAATTTAGATCTATCCATCCGAGTTTGGTATTAAACGTATGGCTGATGAAGCTATTCATGGACCACTTGAACTTCGTCCAAGTGAATCAGATACAGAATGCAATGAAAACAACAATCTGACTGTAGAGAATTCGACTATGGCTCTAGATGTTGATGAAAAATCTGGCTGGCGTAATGCATCATCTAAACTCCGACGTCGTATTCGCGAATATCAATTAGCACGATTGAAATATTTCTATGCTATTATTGAATTTGATAGTGTTGAGACAGCGGAAGCAATTTATACGGCTTGTGATGGTCTTGAATATGAAAGTTCCGGTTCCCGGCTAGATTTGCGTTTTGTTGATAATGACCAACAATTTGAAGTAAGATTTGCTTTGGTAGTTTTTCCATCTCTCTATCTGTATAATACTTTTTTAATAACACGATTGATTGATCATTGATTAACGACCGATGTCATGAATATCAAGTACTTTTTAGTACTGATCGAATTCTATCAACCAACTTGCAATGTGGTGACTAACCTTAGTGACTCGACTTCATGTGCGCTGTATTGAGACGTAAGTTGGTGGTGAGTAGAGGTAATTACAGGTAACTCTGCTTAACCAAGGTTACGTGCCATTTGTCACTCTTCAGCAAGGTACCCCTGCAATCTCGAGGAGACTGATGGCTCCTGGCGGATTTGATTGCATGGTACCGAGATTCACGGCCAGGAAAGATACCAATGAGCTGTTTGACCCTCGGGCGACCTCATGTAAGACTGAGATGTATTTACAGTTGGTCGATCACTGAGTATTTCCCAGGGAGCATCAGTCCCCTCAAGAATACAGGTATCCCTTGTAGGGTACTAAATATGATTCAACTCTGGGACCACGTTAACCTGATCAACTAAATCAAATACAATATATAGTCTAACTACTCATTTTGTTCAGAAGTTCATTTCGTCACTCAATGATACTCCTTTACCAGTAACAGTTAAACACTAGGCGTCGCTTTGCAACCCAATAATTTAGAAAATTTCAAGCTTCATGACTGACAAGACTCCTGAAAAGCTTAAGAAAATTCTCTGTTGAAGTGATTTTCTCGTATCACAAACGATTGCCCAATATTTAGAATGACAGATACCAACATCTCTTCACTCTAAGCTACTGCTTCAGTTACACGTCGAACATTTGGGGGTTCATAGAATGAAACGTACCCCTCATCGCTTTGATTGTTGGCCCATAGACAGACTATTATTATATTTTCACCTAATCAGGTTTTATTCTCACTTAACCTCTGAAGAAGCGACTGGAACTAGGTCACTAAATGTCAGAAATTCTAATTTCCACTCATTAGGACATCACAAATATATCATTGTTTTTATTGTTGACTATCTACCCAATGTTTAGTTTATTTGAAACTATTAAGTTAAATCTTAGTGACAAAACTATTCTCATTTACATTTGTTTCTAATTTAACTTGCGAAGCAACTCCAAGTTTATATTGAGCTTGTATATTTGTTAAGTAATGTCATAGTTTCCTGTAAAATTTGCTCAAGGACTCTTCATATCATTAGATATGCTAAGTGTATATGCCCATTGAATTATTTATTCTACATACTGTATTCTTATATTTCGTTTTTAAATTGAAATATTCCAGGTTCCTTCAGAATATGCTCATCTTGTAAGTGAATGTCGGGAAATCAATAAAACAAAATACGCCCCAATCCGTTTTGAAACAAGCGCCTTACACTCAACGCGAATCGGTATAACTTGGGATAAAACACCGGCTGATCGAACAAATTGGCTACGTGATCAATTTCGTCCAGATATTGATCCTAAAACTACTTTAACAGAGAATAGAGATGAAGTAAGTAAAAATCGGCTTCCCTTTATTGATGCTTTCACTAATTTCTGCTATTTTCGTATACTTGTTAATTTGTATTTGTATATATCACTATTTTTACCTTCCCAAATCATCTTTTCTAGTTGAAATACTCTTGCAAATCTTTTAAGCTGTCTTACCTCTTGTGCTGAAAACCTTTGACTGTAATATTACTCTCTGGTCGGTTTCATTACAGATAAGGAATTCATCTTAATTGCTGACTGTCAAACACAACTCATCTGATTCCGTCTGCATATATTGATTAATTCTTGTTATCCTATGTGGTATATATCCATTCATGTATTGATGGATGGAATGGGTTTTTGACATTTGTAAATAAACTTTCAAACTTACCGGGGTTTATTTCAGGCAAGTTTACTTAACTACCCTACTTCTGATGGTCCAACTAGGTGTGTGTGTGTGCTAAAATCATTCTTAAGTAATTATTTTGCTTCTATATGAAGTGAAACTGTCAATTAAATCTTATTACGTAATTTAGCATACGGTTTGCACTACTTCAGTATGAATTTATTTTCACTTTGAAGTATTACTCCCTAGTAATATATACCGTTGAATACCGACTGAATGATTCAGAGATTGAGTGTCCGCGCTCGAGACCGAAGATCCTATATTCGATTTTTGATGACAGAGTTGTGGATGCTGACTGCTAACGACTTCCACACTAGGCTGAAATAGCTGTCAAGTGCTTCCAGGTTTTCGATGGTTGTTCAACTTAGATCGATTCGTGACCTCAATAAAATAATTAGTTGATTTATTCATTTATTTATAGCTTTCCAAATATCTTGCTCTTTCTTCAAGTGGGGCCAGTACAGCGGCTAGCTCAGATCCTGAATCAGAACCACCTGCCCCCACTGTTCCTCGAATTCATCGTCATAGGCCTAAAAAACTTCCACCAGCTGAAGTCCGTCTAGCACTTTTAGGATTGTCATCTACTGATAAAGTTGATATGGATGGGGAATCATTCAATCAAGACGAAGAGGAAGAGGAAGAAATCCTTGATCTAGCCTCTCATACTCCTAATGATGCTTCTGAAACTGAAGAATATGATCTACGACCTGTTGAAAAGAAAAAGGATTCACAAGTAGTGACGCCTATATCACGTGGAAAAGTCCGTCGTAAGGTATTACCAGAGGCGAGGGATTCTGATGATAATGATGATGAAAAAATAGAAATGGAAGGAAATAGCAACCCTCTTGAATCCGAAGATAATTACAGTGATAATAATGATAAGAAAGCTGTTAAATCCCCTCAGAAGAATGACAATAAAAGAAAGAAAAAAATCAAACAGGTAGGTTCTGTTCAAAACACCTAAAGTTCTTGATAATTTGTTCAGTTGTAAATGATTTTCTCACTGATTATTAAGACGATGATACACATTGTTCATGAAAAGCCTTTCAGTAATGGTAGCCAGCTACTTACGTATTTTACTTAAGTCTGCTACCCTTCGTCAAGCATAGGCCGCTGATCAGCAATCTGACCTGGGCTCTCCTTTTCAATTGTTTCCAAGTGCTATTCATTCTTTAGATGTCTGCTTCTAATTCCCGGCACAATTTCTTCTTCGGTCTGCGTCTTTTCTTTTTGCCTTCAGCATCCGAAGTTCGGGTTTGCCTCGTGATTCAGTTTGATGACTTCCACAATGTACACCTCTAGCTAGAAGTTGGTTTGTTCTTTGCCAAAATAGGTTTTTGCCGATGGTATCTGGTCAACGGATTTGGAGTAGCCAGTACACAACCTACATTATTATTAAGTGATCTATTTCAAAGTGTAATATGGTCTTACATTGAATAGAGAGGGTAGTGAGCAGTCAGGTATACTTTGAATTAGTCATTCCATCAGTCACAATGTAGGATCTAATACTTATGTACATCGCTTCAAGTTGCTTTGCCTCATTAGCACCGAGAGATGAAATTGTCTGGTCAAATCTCAGAATAGTAGAGGTAGTTACGGTATTAGTGGTAGTAGAAAAGATTAGGCATCAAAGATACGAATCGAACAGAAAGTGTAAATTCGTGAAATAAAAACACAAAAACTGTATGGGAAATTTAGAATTTCAGGATTTAGGGGAAGACAAAGAATAGATGCACCTGCGCCAATGCAAACGATTTTGAGCCATGTCATTCAAAGTCTCCAACCATTGGCCACGATAATCACACGGCTCCCAACCATGTGGTGGTCTACACCTTAACATTACTCAGCCCAACTGTAAATGACTGATACCATGTTTTGGTCTGGCCGCCACTACTTTTCAGCAAGTCTACTCCTACATCAGAAATGATCTCCCGTCGAGGTAGTTGGTGTTGGGCATATGTAATACATGTCCTATCCATTTCAGTTGATGAGGATGTTTTACCTGTTCAATCGATTTGTCATCCTTACCTAGTACTGTATTCCTAATCCATGCATAACTTACTTGATGGTAAACGATCAACCCCTGAATAGTCAGAATACGCAATGGTTTTTTTTTCAAAGTATGGTAGCAAGACCTTGAAATTTATAGTCTAAACAACAAACATAGTAATGTACCATGCTTATCTTACTCGGTTTTTTTCTTGAATTCTTCAGAAGATAGCATTTAGCATAATGTTATTATGGTCAACGTGAAGCTGAATTAAACAAATGAGAACGATCTGTTTATTATATGGTAGTTGTATTCTCATGCTGAATAGTTTTTTACACACTGTCTGTCGTGTATGTGCATTTATCAATCAGTGAGGGTTGAGATCTATATTCTTAATGACAACTCTGTTTAGTAAAGTTGTATAAAACTACTGTTAGTCCATAGCAATTTCTTGATTTCACATCATAATGATGATGCAACTTACTAGCTTCTCAATAATCCAACATTATGTAGGTGAACTATAGTCATATAACCAACCAAGTTGTGTAGAATGAGAGGTATGGTCAAAAACATAATATCCTGTAGCAGGTTATCCGCAGTTCTGCTTTAAACATGGCACATAGATTCAATAATTACCGCCTCAAATTTGATTGTTTAATTTCATTTATTTCATGACCGTCAGTCAGTATAGTGTATTCCTACCGTCCTTTGGTTTCATATATTATTTATTTTTAGCGTACAAAAATCTTAGAGAAAAAACGAAAAGTTCAAGCAAGATTAGAACGTGAATCGAAACTGGTAAGTTTTGCTTGTTCATATTATGAATATGCCAGTTAGTCAGCAGTATTACTAATAAATTTAATAGTAGTTTGACTCATTAGTCAGAAATTTATCTTTAGATGATATCAAGTCCGCACCATGTTAATTTTTTGATTGGATGTACAACTAAAACACATTAACATATGGATAATACTATCAGCTTTCATATGTAAAAAATGTAGGTCGAAATGTGGCATACTAATTTGCAATTGGTAACTGAGTTTCCAATGGGCATTTTCCTAGTGTTAAACGTCATATTTCGCGGAAATACGCTTGTATCTTAACTCCTTACCTGTCTTTCAATCTGTATATCAGCATCAATTACTCATCGTAGTAGTATTAGTAGTCACCTTTGGATGACTGACAAGATTAAACTAGACCAAAGCTGGTATATTAGATTCTTAGTATTACTATGGTAATAAGCAGATTATTGTTTCGAACGACTGGATGGATTTGTTAAATGTCATGTATATTATATGATTTTCATAATTCAAACCAAGAACTTATCTTAGGTGGGTGTTTTGTCTTTGTATATTACTCCTCAGTAGTGCACATTTACGGCACCGCCTCAAGATATGTAACCCAGGATCTTCAATCCCACGTGCCGATGTTTAAAGTCTAGACCATTGCGTCGGAATTCAACGGTATTGACATTTAACTTCAACCGATTTACGATATTGCGCAACTCTCACCTATTGCCTGTGATGGGTAACTGCTCCACTGGTCACAGCTAATCACTAGAACTGCAGGGATTTGTTATCGAAGCTAATCACTATTGAGCACGTGAGGAGTTCCACACTAGGACGAAACGGTCGTCCAGTGCTTCCAGTTTTTCAGTGATGTTTTATTTCTTGTCAGTTCGTGATTTAAGCCATTAAAATTCTACAATGTCCACAAATCCCTCTGTACTAATATTGTATAATCGATTACTTGAAAATTGGAAGCAACATTTCGACTCAGTGTTAAATGGCTAGAATCATCATCACCAATTCAGTTGATGATATATATAGTCTTTGTTCATTTTGTCTATATAACTTCACTAATATTCTTTCTATTTCACTTAGTGGTTTGGAGAAAACAATAACCCTGATGAATTATGTGATGATGATCGCTTTGATGAATTTCTAAGAAATCCTGCATTTGATATTAGTCAAACACATCCAGATTACAAGGAAGCAAGTGATTTCTTACGTTATATAAAAATGCGTCAATCGAAAATTGTATGAGATGTTGTAAATAGTATTAATAAACTATTCATTATCTATTTATGTATATACATTCATATATATAGTTGTACAGTTTATTTTTCTTTCAAATAATCCCTTGCCTATTTCTATCTGTTGTCAATTCAGCAGTGATAATTTGTACAATATAAGAGATGTATACCGGTTATTCGGTTGATTGTTTTTTGTCTTTGGTGTATCCAATTCTTTTTTAAATACTGGAGATTACTACTTTGTTGCGTAATAAAGATGTAGAAAGACGGAAAGTGAATGTTTCAATTAGATCTACCGAAATATCATTGTATTTACTATTCTGTTTGGCAAAATACACTTACTTACGCCTGTTACCCCCAGTTGAACATAGGCCACCGACCAGCATTATCCAACCAACTCTTCCCTATTCCATCCTTTCGAGTTCTATCCAATTGTTGTTCTTTCTTATCGTGTATGTCTTTGTTTGTTGACGTAATGTGTTCTTTGGTCTTCGTCTTCTCCCTTTACCTTGAGGATTCCAAGTGAGGGCTTGCCTTGTAACACAGTTGGGTTCTTTCCTTAATGTATGTCCTATCCACTTCCGATGCTTCTTCCTGATTTCTACCTCCTTTGGAATTTGGTTTGTTCTCTCCCATAGTAAGTTGTTTCTGATCGTATCTGGTTAAAGATAAAATACACTAACTGACATTATAAAACACTTCGAATAGATCATTCTTTATCCTCTTTAAAATAAATAACCTTTTTTTGTAACAATCAATTCATAGTAACTCATTTGGCGTTTGTTATTGAATGAATCAGAAACAAAGAGATTGAATGTAGCTGATATTAGAGGATAAATGACTAGATCAATGTATCTGAAGAAAATATTCATAATTTCAATAACTATAAGAAAATTAATCGATTCACAACCAAGCAATGAATCATATGATGCCCTTAAAATTCCACAATAAATTATTAGTTACTTATAAGTAACTGGACGAAACGCGCGTCCTGGATCCCACTGCTAGTCACTATCCCTTATTGCTTACAAAAAGCTTGTGAATTAAGGTAATATTGAGGCATACGCATAGTATGCACATATGCCAATAACAGACTGATTAATTGCAGTCTTAAACCTCTATGGGAAGATACAAGCCAAACAATACCGAGTGAATATAAGTAACACAGTTATAATGTTTATATCACATAGACACTTGTTCCCTCTAGTTCTCAGGTACATTCAATTGATAATTTTGAGTAGGATCAATGTATATTTAAGTGACCAACAACTGTACAGATGTATTGATCTTACCAACTCCATTATTTGTCAATCACTTTTTGTTCTTGTTCCCTTTTAATAACATTTCTCAATTAGACACATTGAATGATTAAATTTATGAACATACATACATTTCAATGTTTTTTTTTGTTGTTGATCAAAATCAATCATGTCGGTGTTGTAACTTCAATTAAACTGACAACACTTCTCTTTTGTAATCCTTCAATTCAGTTGTTTCTGCGTGTGTAGATCTTACCTATTCAAGCATTACCCTGTTACCGCTGAGGGTAGGGAGAGTTAGCTTTCCCCCTCAAAATGCTCTCACATGGTCATGTGTATACAGCTACTGACATGGAAGTCCTACTCACTGCTTTCTCGCACCACGGTTGTTGTTTACGAAATCGAAGGCTGGCGTTTTAACCGGGTTGGTGGATATGGAGGATCCATCTAGGGAAGTTGGAGAACCTTGATTCTAAACCATTGGTGCACATGGGCTGCAGTATCTTAAGGGAACAAATGGTGTATGAAACAATTGTTGGTCAACGGTTACCATAAGACTTCATCTCCTTACGTTGTCCCACTGTATTGTGAATCAAACCTTTAGATCGAAATTTCGGGTTGTGACCCCTTAAGAAAACCATCTGCTTCGATTTGGGCGTACAGACAGCATTCCAGCCCACACAAAAATTGGGTGACGAAGTGTGGCTCATTTATATTTCTGTGCCTCCTTGTACTAATGTTTATGTGTTTAAATACAATAAAATAAATGATTTTGATTTTCACAATTAGGGACAAAGTAAATTCTGTGATGCGTAATATAGTTTTCGAATTGAATAGTGAATTATCTATGTAAGAATGTATAGTTTTCAACAAGTGAATTCGTTGCAATAGATTGTTTTGCTGGATTAATTTGTTTTCAGAGCTAAAAAAGCTTATAAACAGTACGGTTGGATTTTGACTCAGTGGTCTGGAGGTAAGGCGTTCGCACATGAGACATAAGGTTTGGGGTTCGATTCACATGTTAAAGAGTGAAGCACATATATTGAAAATTAGCGGTTAAACTTAAAGTATTAGTTGGAGATGAAACATAAGTAATCTAGGAATTGTAATTCGTATAACCGACTATCTCTTAACTGAACTCGGAAGCTTACTTTGTGTCTATGAAGTCGCTATTAGCAAATATAGACTGACTGTTTGAAGTAAAGAAGGAAATTTCAGTTGATAATTGGTCACATAGTTCAAAATTCATTTTAATGATTCGAATGTATTCCATCTTTACATTTGAGTATTTGTATTATTTTTCATGCATTTATGACGTGAATTAATTTCTATTCAGGTTTTACTCTGTACATTTCATCTTGTTTAATCTGATTAGAATTATTGTGATTTTGATACTTTTACTGTACAATGTTTGGTGAGATTATAGTTTATGGACGACCTTTGAACAACCTTAAAGTGACTTTGAGAGTGTCTACCTACTGACTAGGGCTAAATGAGGGTTATAAAACAATTTGAAGAATAAGGATTATGATTTACAGTTGATAGTTAAGGCTAGGAATTAGATTTAGGGTTTTCACCATGAACTGATATCAGCTATAATGCCAAGACTCGATTTAGCCAAATGGATGAATGAATTACGCACCGAAATCTAACACTTGTTATCGTAAATCTGACTGGTTCATCCATAAATTATAGTCTCATCTGATGTTTTAATTTCATCTTGTTGTTATGATGTGATGTAACACGTTGGATTAATACATATCTTCACCATAGTTTGAGTGATTACCATTAACAAATGCTTTAAGTCAAATATTGCTCGCATCTTCAAATGATCATCATCCGGCATCTCTATAGTAATTCCATTGGAAATTATAAAACGAAATACAATGTGAAGAAAATTCACTGACCATCTTCTGCTTCTTGACTGAAACGGTCATCCAATGCTTCCAGATTCTCCATGGTGGTCTAGCTTCAATTGACTTATGAATTCAATCATTAAATATAAATTAGTCCTTAGTCAATTTAAGTTAAACATGAAGTCAAGAAACTATACTTGTATCAAATATCCACTTTTTAATTCACTAATAGTTAAACTATTCCTGTTACGCTTAACAGTCCATCTTCGACCTCCAGTGATCATATAATATCAAATATATTATATATATTCTATGTTACGACCGACAGGAAATCTGTTTCTCATCTCTTTGTGTTGTTCAGTTATTGGCTTGCTCAAAGTATAGACTATAATAATTGTGAGATATATAATAGTTTTAATCCAGATATCTAATGACTACTGTATTATTTCTGATGATAGGCATCATTGTAGCATTCTAGAAGAGAGATAAAACACCTCACATTCTTCCTATTGTAACTCCAGATATTCTTATCTATCTGATAAACTATCCACTCGGTATTGTTTGTTTGAATCATCCCATGGATGTTTAAGACTGTAATTGATCAATCACTTATTGGCATATGTGCATACTGTGCGTATTACCTCGATTTTACTTCAGTCTACAAGCATTATAAGCAAATATGGATATTGGCTAACAGTAGAATCTAGGACGCGCGTTTCGTCCTATTTGGGTCTCGTTAGCTGGACATACCTGCATCTCAAAATTGATGTTCACTCTTGAAATTTGTCAACATTTGATGAACAAGAACACGACTGGGGACAATCGAATGTACTTGTACACAGAATTACAGAACATCTTACTAAAATCTAAAAACCATACAGTACGATACCTCATTTGCAAATTATCAATCAATTTGTTTCCAACTTGACTGTTCATTTTGTAACTATCAGTTCATCGTCCCAGATTTCATTGTTACAATATTTCCATATCAATTGTTTTCTGTTCTCATTCTTTCCTTTTTGATCTTCTACTGAAATCCATTCTATTTCCAACCATTATTATATACTACTTATATGGATATAAGTAGTTCACACGCCGTAAAGTGACTTTTTCGTTTGCATAGTTACAATATTATTATTTAATTAATAATACCATATTAAAATAGATTAAATGTATATAGAATAGTAAGGATTATGACGTAAAAAGATTAAAGAATTTCTATTCTATATAGAAGTGTTATTTCTATGACATTCATTTTTACTTAAATATCAACATCATTATACAATGGTATTCAACTTGACTACAAACTTGAATGGCAGTTTCTTTTTTGTTTGGTAACAACAAAGTAATAGAATTATGGATTATCTAAGAGATATTAGTTTATATTCAATTTATTATTCGGTTATTTTCCTATTACCTTGAATATATATATATATAAATGTGATAATGATAAATGGGTAAAGATTATAGTTAAAGAAATACTACTTTATCAAATATAATGGTTGTGATTTTTCCCATGTTGACTAATAAACAGTAAAAAGTAGTTAAGTATTGATCTTCTTTCTTTTTTAAAGGGATATATATATATACTACTTGTCTGGATGTTATGATAAACTAATTTTATTGATTCTTGTTATCATGTTTATGAATGTTTCTATGTCATTTATATATATATATATATATATATATATATATATATATATATATATATATATATATATATATATAGGTACTTACTTACTTACGCCTGTTACTTCTCGTGAGGGAACATAGGCCTCTCACCAGCATTCTCCATCCTTTTCATATCTGCTTCTATTTTCCGACGTTACGTGTTCTTTGGTTTTCCTCTTTTCCGCTTTCATTCAAGATTCCAAGTTAGCACTTGTCTCGTGATA